ATGGTGGCATCATGTCTTAATCTACGTTGTAATTTTTATCTTTACTTTTAGAAATAGTTTGAAGTTTTGATAGCAAATGAAATCCAGTACTGAGTCCTGAAGGGAAGCATCACACAAACACTAAACCAATCACCAATTAGAAACTTTCCATAAAATTTTAAGTTGTTAAACTTTTAGAAATTTTGAATCATGACGACTCTTATTATGGGAGCTTCTAGAGACAAAGCAGCAACGGCAGTCAGCCCTGCCAGCTGTTTTATAGGACACCTGGAAAAAATTACTTGTAATTTGTAACAAAGTGTTTTCAAAGTAGACAACAAGGCTAGTCTTGATCTGTTTTGGAGTCCATCATCACCACTTGTTTCTATAAAATGAATACAGACCAGAGAACTACTTGAATGTCTTATCAACTATCGGGCTGGTTACAGGTTCCTTTGTGTCGTATTTTTCAGCAACGGAAATTTTTTGTGTGTCCCTTATTTCAGAAATAAAAATTTGCCACTGCATGTAAAAGCGTACCGCGTATGGCCACATCCATAAAATATGATTAGGTGGACCAGCGATCTCCATCTCGACCACTCTATTCAAGACGATGGGACGACTTGGTGGCTTCCACAAACCACAAACTCGCTCACTTTGCATTTTTTTGTTTATGAGAACACATTAATCTGTTGAAAGACATAATTATCCACTAATGACTGTATATTTCTAAGTAAAACATTATAATTCTCTATGAAATAAACTAAAAAGATGCCTGACTGTACCTTTAAAAAAGAGAAAATATTACAATGACATTTGAATGACTTTAAATGCTAAATTTGCATTGTGCATGCTGTTGATGTAAACAAGGATTACTTTGCAAACACATTTGTCATATCAACTTAACGTTGTGATAATGCAATGTGTTTACCTTCAAGCGTTATCTGCAACTTAAATGCATAGTGTTTCAAGGGCACTGAATGTCTGGAGCCCCGTGCTGTAGTAAAGGCAACAAAGTATAAACTGCACTGTGACATTCATGAAGCCACATGACAGATTTAGTGTACCTTCACTTGCAAACTTGGGTTATTCTTCTTCTTCTTTTTTTACTATAGTAGTTAAATAAGAATCAAATATTTTAGGTGAGTTTGTTCAGTTAGAGAATGTGTAAGTGGGTGTGTGTATGATAGAAAGGGCCCTGTCCATCACACACACACACACACACACACACTTGCAGGTTATCCCATGAATCGAAATGAAACATACTGGCTATTCAAGTATTCTGCTGTCTGGATCACACCATTCGTAGTCTGTACGTCTGGACCAAGACTTCTCAGCATTTCATACCATTCAGCCAGACTCTACTTCTTTTATGTTACTAAAGTAAGGACCCGTATAAAAGTTTAAGCTTCCATCCAGACATTTCACCTCATAAATGTATGAGTCGATTATTGACTTTAGCCTTTCTGCGTGCCTTCTTTTCTTCATCCTACATGCTCTGTTCTGTTCCTCCAGCAATTCTGATTCCAACTCACACAAAACATACAGCAGATTTACACTCTTGCATGCAGCCAAATGCAAATACATGCAAACACGCACACGTAAGCGACCCAGGACCTGTGAGGACCTGCCACAGTTGAGGAAAGAATGCAACAAGAGGCTCAGCCAAGAGAAAAGCTATTCATTCAGAGCCCCTTCACGCCCCCTCCACCCACACACGCATTAAAAACACACAAAAAAACAACTTTTGTGGAATGCGTTTGCATGCTGCTGGGAGAGGTATCCACCGTGTGTACAAAAACACAACTTTGGGCCGCTCTCACACACAAACAGACACACAGTTTATGACTGATTGCTAATTGATTTGGCACTTTGCCAAGCCCTTAAAATGAAAAGCTGAAAGCCTCGCTCAATACGGTCCATTCTCTCGCTCTCCCTCCGCGAGAAGGCTGGGCACACGCGAGCGTTCACGTTTCTGTGGTTCGGTGCGTGCGCAAAATTTCAGCATAAACACCGTCGGTCCGTTTGTGTGCGTTTTCAGGTATTACGCTTACCACAAACACAGCCTTGTGCGTGTCTCAGTGGGAAAGCTGACCTGTGGAGAAGTGATTTTCTTTCATATGATGCAACCGTTACTATCTGCAGACGTTTGGTGTCCTGCTGAGAGTCTGACTTCTGAGCTCAATATCAGCTCGAACAGAAGGGGAACGCAAGGAGCTTTGGAGAGGTGGGAAAATTTACTGGCAAAGGATGTCGGCTAGTAAACAATGTTGAGAGTTATTACTTTGTTTCGGGTCACAACACGTCAGCGTCGACGGAAACACGACGTGCCAGTCCAGCTGCGTGTGTGTGTGGAGGAGGAAGAGAGAAAGGATGCTACCTCATCACCTAGGATTCAAGTAAACAGTGTCAAGAGTTATGGCAACACACAACTCAACTGCTCCATGAATCCTATCTGCTGAAATAGCCAATAAAACACTTTAAGTAAAGCTGATCTGCCACTAATACACTGTAATTTAGCACGCTGCTATTCATCCCAACTCTCTGTTAAAGTAAAACTTGGTTTTCGCTGCACTGCAGAGAAAATATTTACAGGTAGCGTTGTGCTCAGCTTGAGCCCGAAGCTGAAGAAAGAGACAATTCGAGTGCTACATCATCATAACATCATAAATAAAAATGAACTGAAAGCCAATATTATCAACAGATTTAATTTACATTTTAACATGGCAGTAGTGTTGATTGGTCCTCAGTGTTAATGAGCAACGAGTAAATCACAAAGGAAGACAATGAAAACAAACTCATCATGTCACTGTTGTTAAATACATGATTTATGTGCACAGTTTGAATTAAAAACTAAGCTTTTCCTTGTGAGTGACAGTACAGTAGCTGCCGAAGGCATCGGAGTATTCTACGTATCAAAGCATCCTTTAGTCAAAGAGCATCTCGCTGTTTGGCATTATCAGTAAGTGCTGGATTATCGAGGTGTTACAGTGTCTCTTTTACTATCAGTACAACAAAGATTTCTTCTACAGTGTAGTAGGATTACAATCACATTGTGTGTGTGTGTGTGTGTGTAAATGACCACTGGAAATATTTCAGTGTGTTTATAATATAAAGAACGCAAACACAAAAATACCACTTTTAACAGCCATCATAGAAGTCACCCTATTTCATGCTCACCCTGTGATCTCTGATTCACTTCTTTTATAATTCAAATATTTACTTTCTTCAGATGTTTAAAGGCACGAGAAAAGAGCCGGCAGCCAGCCTGTCAGAGACAGAGCGGCATACAGAGTTGATCTGCTGCATGACATCTAAAAGAATAATGAGCTGCGTGGCGGCTGCAGGACTAAAGCAGGATTGAAGACCACGATAGCCAACTTGTTTTGGTTTTTCTCATAAATAATACAGGAAGTTTGGGGCAATATTTCATCGAATATCGAAGTTTCAGTACAAATACTGAGAATCACTTGAATTATACATGGCAGGTATTTTCGTGATCGGGTTGCAGTTTGTGATGTAGAGGGAGGTGTGTTGGGAAATTGTCGGCCCTGGAATTAAGACAAGAGGAGCAAAAACAGCATCATCACGTCTGATCGGACTGGATACTCTTAGTGAGATTGTTTGAAATGATGAGAGGTATGCTGAGTCAGCTTGTTAAAAAGATTTAAACGAGAAGGCTCACTCAGTCATCTAAACATAAGGCCACAGACTGCAGCTTAGAGTGGAAAGAGGAAACAGCTACACTGGGTCTGTTCAAAGGTTCTAGAGCTGACTTATTAACACATCATGGGTTTATTGTGTGAAAACATCAAGTTATTGTTTTACAGAGTTTGCTGTTTTTTAGTCGAGTTCTTAGCTGCAGTCTTTTTTAGACTAAATCCCTTTTACCACAAGGTCCATTTAGCAACTGGTAACATTTTCTCCAATGGCATTTTGTGGAAAAATATTTTTCCCTCAGATGTTGAGGTTACAAATAAACTATATTATGTAAGTTTAAGATTAACTGTTTTCAGGCAAAGTCTTTATTTTTCGACCAAGTTAGCCTCACTCTGTCCAAAGATAACAAAATCAACTTACTAGTAGAGGAAAGATTAAATGGGGAAGACAGAGTAGCTGTTCATGCTGTGCTGGAATACTACTCAGAAAATTCACGCAAAAACGTCTCACATAAATCCAAGAAAACTGCTCAAATAATGGTATCCTACTTTCTGAGTTACTAACATGAAGAAGAGGATGGCAGACGAAAGTAAACATTTAGCTAATGGTAAGAAACCTGTGGTTAGTGGTGCAAATTCATGCATTAAACATTATCTTTGGGGTTTAATATGTCATGCTGTTTCCACATTCTGACTTTTAGTTTGTATTTCTGAGCGAGGTCATCGGGTGTGCGTTGGACAGCACTGTACTGAAAGGTGCCAACCCACGGGCACACGTGAAGGGCTCAAAAAGGTAGAGAAACTGAAAATGCAATTTCATAAGAGGTCACAGTTGTGGCAGAGCTTTTGGATTTAAATGCGTTAGTAGTTCCTAATAAAGTGGTCGCAAGTGCTTATAGCAGTCATCTCTCAGCAAGAGCATCAACGAGCATATTTACCTAAAAGATTAAACTACTGCTTTAAATTATCTGCTCAAAATAGATTTTCCAAAATACTCTACATGTCTTATTTAGCTGTAGTTCTGTCAGGGATAATTTAATCAAACGCATCCCCTACGCCCTGAACGTAAAACTCCATGCATGTAACGCTAATTGAACTGTCAGATCGCTGTCAGCTCAAATACTGGGCCACCAGCTTATTGTGTGCGGTGTGTTAAAAGAATACAGTGACATTTTGAATCGGAATGAGCTGTCACACTGTGGGAATCCGAGCCGCGGACTGCGGCGACGAGCTCCGATGATGAATGCCGACACTGCTAGCGAGACATCTCAGGGGACGCTAATAAAGACAAATGCGCAAAGTTTTTCCACAGTGTGTCAAGTGTTTGTGGAAGAAAAATGACAAGTGGAATTCAGAATGTCCTTTCAGAGCTAATGGTAAATAAATTATTTAATTGGTAAATGGAAGGCAGTTTGCCCGGTATTTTGATTGAATGGAAAGTGAATTCATCCCAGGCCTGCTACACGTGGACAATCCTTCCAAATCCGAACGTGACAGCAATGCCCGATATTCTCCTTTCCATACGTCCTTATGTCATCCTTCTGTATCTAGGCCAGTCTGAACTTTCCTCCGTGCTTCTTCAATCAACATTTCAGTCCATGCAGCCATTACAGAGAGTCTGTTAAGAGCACATTTTCACTTTGATCTCTTTCTTAATTTTTTTTTCTTAAACATAGAGTTGGAGACTCCATACAGAGTTTGATTTCCAGATAGAGGCTACATTCGCTCAGCTCGGGTTTCCGACTGAAGGAGTTTGAGGTGGTTTTACTGCATGCAGGCTGCAGATAGGCGGACAGACGAGGTGGAGTTCTGCTTTCAAAGAAGTTTACATGTCCCTTTGTGGAGATGCCATCAAGCTACCAGACCCAGGCGGGAGATCTTAGCAGAGAGGAAAGAGTGGAGGATGAAGACGATCGGCTTTGGACACGAGTGGAGGTCCAATTGCTTTAAAAGGAAAAGAAAAACAACCGGATTAAAAATTTAAAAACACAGCTGGGATAAAAATGAGAAACAATGATCTATGTATATTAAAAAAAAAAAAGAAGCTGAACAGAAAATGAATCTGCAAAGCACTTAAAACCAAAAGAAATATACTCAAAACTAACTGCACACAAATGGTTCGTCATGTGGCAAGTATTAGACGGCTGGCTGGTGCCAAGCACACACAAGTATGCACGCAAACACCACATCACTATGAACAAAGCTCTCTCATAGCCTGAATCAACAGTGGGTGATTTCACCGGTACCATGACTCATATCCTGTTCCTGAGGTCAGTGGGGAGATTTAACCTAGAAATTCACACTAAAACTACTGTTTAGGTGGTTAACTGTAACACTGCAGAAACAAGTGAAGCCAGAGCAGATCTACATGTAGCTACACTGTGATTGGACCATAAAGCTTGGCTTGATATTACACGCTTTCTGTATGTGCATCTGTGACAAAATTAGACAAGTTTAGATCCTGCTAAATTTACAGTACAGTACATAGTGTGTGGAAAAAAAAGACTCCTAGCTATCTTCTTTTTCAAACGATGAGCTAATGAGCCATCAGCCACATCCGCAAATGCCTTGGGATTCCTCTTATAAAGCCTATAGCTGTGCTGGGATTTCAGAAACACTATAGACACTAAAGCTGTTTCTGCTAAGGTAGCCAGCAGTGGGTTTTGATTCAAAGCGTCAAAGTCTTTGCTTATTTGCCATCAGCTTAAACGGAGCAGTCAAACGCTAGTGTATCCGACAGAAGTTCTACACAGAGCTGTATGTGGACTGTCACAGCAGATCGAGGCGTTGACATAAGCATCCGTTTCCAATTTCTAAATCCCATAAGCCTGGGGAGTCAATGTTGGGCAATGTTGTTGCTCTGGGTAAACACTTTGTTTAAGGGCTGGGGAAAGGTACTCTACAGGCACATTAATAGTCACATAAAATCCAACCTAAACCACACTGATACACACATTAGCTTGGGTTTGCACTCGGCTGGTTTCTGGTCCTGAATTACTCGAGGTTGGCCTCTGAAACATGAGCCACCTGGACATCTAATCAGTGAACTGCTGGGTGGTGTAAAACAGATTAAAACTCTTACAGTAAGTGACGGGCTATTTTTAAGGAAAACTCAGCTCTCGTGTGCTCTTACCTTCAAAGACCTAAGTGTGCGTGGGAAGTTTATTTCATTTCAGATTTTTTGATTAAGTGCTGTAATTTACTTTCTGCTGTACCACATTCCTTCTTCCTGTTGCGCTTGCTTCTAGCGCAGCTCGTGTTCCTTAATTCCCAGAAGGCCTTGCGAAAGCCCCTGAGAGTGGGAATGAACCTATTCTGTTTACTGTGAGGTGTGTGTAACCACACCCATTTAAGCTTGATGCTTTTTACTCACCAGTATTTCTAAACGCTGAAATAATTATACCACTTAAACACTTTTTAGGACATAGTGTATTTTAAAATGTGAATTACTGGAAAACCAAGCTGTAACTGAACCCTTTGGATTCAAGGAATCCACGGCAACTTCCTCGGAAAGATCCGAGTCAGCATTTTGGCCCGTGCCTTACCCACCTGTCAATAAAACAAGGTTTTTACAAACCTCTTCACTAAAATAAACACCACTTGCAAATCATGGTTAGAAATGTAACAGGTATGGTTTATAGTCAGGAAAATGTAAGAAATTATGTGTCATAATGTGTGTTTGTTTAAAGTTGATTTTGAACAGGCCTGGGAAACATCTGCAGATACATCTGGGCTACTAGTTTGTGGCTGCTGCACGTTTGACTTTCACAGCCCTAGAAACTCAAACTCATTCTTTTTATTAGATTGTGCTGACTCAAAGAACAAGACTTTATAGAAGTGCCGTTATGATATCTTTCTATTAAACTATGGTGTAGCTGAAAAACAAACAAAAAACCCTCACAAAAAATACAATCACTGCTATCAGTGTTCACCTCTTAGAAGAAACTGATTCTTATGCATGAACATATTTTGTTACAGTTTGTGTGTCTAAATGTGAAGTTAAAAATACAAAAAATTAACCAAAGAAAAAAACCCCACTCACAATTTCCCCTTCCTTCCCCCCAAAGTCGAGGAACAGCATGCGTACTCCGTCATCTGAAGACATCTTTAGTTTTTCAAAGGGGTAAGAGAGGAGAACTTGGGGCTTGCTAGTAGTGCGAGCTACTCTCTCCTCAAAGTCCTCCCCACCTTCTGCTTTCGGGTCAGCCAGCACAGAGAAGCCCCTCTCATAGTGGATCGCCAGCCGACACTCCTGACCCCGGTACAGACAACCTGGAAGACAAAGATTTCTGATTGTTAACAAGGTGCTCACGAGGAGGTGGAAGAGTGAGGTCTAAAAGATACGTGCAGAGAGCAAGAGTAGAATAGCTAGTCTTAACATACAAGGGAAAATGTTTGTTTTTTTAGGTGTAAAAACCTTAAAATCCTTACAAAGTGTTGCTCTCTGACAAAAGCTGTGTTTTGTTCACAGTCTATAACAACTGTGCCTTTGGAACCCAAAGTCCAACAAGAGACTGGAACATTAGCTATACTACATCCAGGAGAGGTACACTTCCTCTGAGTGAACTGGGATGGTTGATCTAAAAGAGCTTTTGCATATTCATACCAGTAATATGGTTTATTACTGCCGTTCGAGGGCTGGTTGTCAGTCCTGGCACGTTATAAAAAACCCCAAACCCTCGTATCTCTTGTATCTCGTATCTGTTTACTTACTAAATGAAGTAGCAGCATTTCAGTGACACACTCTCCTTCTCATTCGGCTGAAAGCAGGGAGTGTAATTTCTCTATTTTACAACATTTCTCATCACTTTTCTCCCGCTCTTCCTCCTCTCGTCACAGCAGGTGTCTTAGCTGAAAGCTGAGTGTACTATCTTTATCAGCTCCTCCTGCTTTGCCTTGTCCCCGCACTGTGTGATCTAGGTGCATTTAGCCTTATTTTTCACTCCTTGACAGCAGAATACCTCCACTCCCTGCGGCAGACGTGAAGGCCGCAAGACGGAAACTTCATTTGCAGCACAAACTGTGCTCTCCTGACGATATCTGATCTGCCAAGCAGCGTGTTTGTTTGACAAAGAGACGGTAAGAGAGAAGAGAGATGTTATCTTTCTATTGTTTGACCAAGATGTGTGCACAAGGATGGATGTTTGTATGTAGATACACACACACACACACACACACACACACACACACACGAGGCACTGTTTAAAAGCACTTTTAACAGCGCGGGTGATTTTCAGCATTTCTAAACACACTAGTTTTCTTTACAAAGCATAAATTCTATTCTATTTGCACACAATAACAGAATACTTTCAGAAAATAACAAAAATGATCAGTGTCAATGTAAACCATAGCACAAACCACTGCTGTGCAATGATAAGCTTTAACTTTGTAGAGGTAGACTTGAGAAAAGGAACTGTTGAGGCGATGGATATACAGAAATATCACAACATTTCCAAGTGTCAAGAATTGGAGTGAGAAGTATCATCAACAAAGAGAGCCACGCAGTGCAGAACAAGCCTGGTAGAAGCAAGAATCAAAGATCTCAAAAACTAAAAAGAAAACTAGTGAGAGATGTGTCTGAAGACCCCAGAACAACTGCCAAGACATGAGTGAATGACTTGGCTGAGTCTGGAATTGCCTCAAAGAAGAAAAATGAACTGCAAGCCTGCAGAGCAAGAAAAACTCCACTTCTGCAACTCCACTTCTGCAGAACAGACAACTTCTAGCAATATTATAGTATGCAAAGGATAACCTGGAGAAAATTATGGATACTGGAAGCGCATGCTTTGGTTAGATGACACCAAACTACAGTCTAGTTTGGCCAAAGAGATACTGCTTATGTTTGGAGAAAGAACACGGGGGTCTGAGTATTTTGTTGTGGGAATGCTTCTGTTCGTCTGGATCTCGGGGATCTGGTCAAGGTGGAAAAAATCTTTAAGAAAGACAGGTATGTGAAGATTTTCAAAGAAAACCTCAAGTAGTCAGCAGCTAAACTAAGTCTGTGTCTTCTGTTTGTCTTTTAACACGAAAATAACCCAAAACATTCGTCTCTTCACGTCCTGGTGAATAACGACCTCCAGTAAACCACATTGTTGCTCTTTAGGGTTTAGTAGTTGTTAGCTTGTCGTTAAACTGAAAGAGACACATAATGTCTAATTAACTATGTTGGCAGTTACACCTTACTAATCAGACTACCATGTTTTAGTTTATCTAAAAACAAAACAAAAAAACAACAACTAAGAGAGGACGGTTAGCAAATGTGACTTGACTTCCGGCGAGTTTTATTTCCCCCGTACAGGGTAACAGATAATTTGCAGAGCACAAGAATGTAATTACACACAGAAATGCATTCTACATTCATTTTGATTTTGCTCTTTCTTTTCAAGCATATTTCAGTGTGGGTCAGCAGAAAGGCAAAAAAGAAACTTTAATTTCACTCTGGAATGTCTCATTCTAGATTACAAACAGCGGGAGCTGTCAGCTGTAAAACAAGCGTGGAACAAAATGCTACACGAGTGTGCTCAATTAGCACTTCATCCTACTCGTTGCAAAGCAAAAGTAGGAGCACAAACTGCAGGTGCACAGAGATTAAAAACTGCAGGTTTGGGTCAAGTTATAGGGAGCGCATAAAAGTGATAAACGTAGCACAGCTTTAGTTAAGACACAAAACTAAAGCCAGATTTACATTAGCTGAGTGCTGTTACAGCCAATGACATTCATGCAGGTGTACAGCATTATCAGTGTTGCTGGCTTAATATTAATGCTCAAGTATCTGCTTTTTAAACAGGCGGAAACTTGTTGACACCTGTAATCTTTGAAAATCCTTCAAACACTCCAATCTTACTGTACACCTCCCGCTATGAACAGTTAAGTTTCTTGAGACGACCACCTCAGTTTGAACTTCTTTGAACTCTTGACAAACAAAACCAAAAAACACTGACATAAAGGTTGGAGAGCAATGTGAACAACATGGTGACAAATACAAAGTATCTGGCAGTGTTTTGGAGTATTTTTAACCTCCTAAGACCCGAACTCTTCCACGGCATGCATTTTTATTTCTCTTTGATATTTGGGCTGATTGGGAGCTGATGAATGTAAAAACAAAGAATTACCAGATTTTACCTAATTTTTGTTTCTAAGAAAAATGAGAGCCACATATGAGGATATTCGTTTAAAATTTCGATAGAACAGTAGCAGTATAATGTCCTCGTAAGTGGATATCAGGCCCATGTAGAGCAAAATTTAGTATTTTGGTCTAAATAACCCAAAATGTGATGTCCACATATGTGGACGCCAGGTTCTAGGAGGGTAAAGGTCTTTTTTCCACTTTTGTCTGATCTCCATTTGCATTTATAACAAATAGAAATAGATGCAACTTTATGTTAATGTTGTTAAATGTAGCACAAAAGAGACTCAAATCACATTCAAGTAAATAAAGCAATAAATTAATCTCTTTCCTACTTATTGTTTGAGTATCACAGGCAATAACTTGTGTGATGACTACGCTTCAGGAAGTAATGTTGATATGGAGAGCAGTCTGATTCAAATAGAAGCTGAGCCACACACATACAGTCAAATAGAGGATAATATCCTGTTTTAACCCCCGATGAAAAATGAGTCTCATAAAGTGTAATATTTTTCTAACGATGTATAAACAATGTGACGGGAACAGCGTGTTCCTAATGGTATAAATGGCGCTGGAAATGAAACAAAGAGTGGCGGTCTTTGTTGTGTTCAGGAGAGAATATTAGACCTGAAAGTCTTCTACCTGAGAACATTGTTGTGTGGAGAAAGTTCCCACAAGAATACACACACAGAGGGAGAAAGAGGCTTTTCAGGCAGCAACAAAAGCCCTTCTTTCTGCCTGATGGTGAGTGGAAGAGACAGAAGGAGGGGCAGAAAGTGATAACACTGGGAGCCAGAGAGGAGCCAAATGAATCAGGGAAAGAGAGGGTCAGAGAAAAAAAAGGAGGGAGACACTAAGTGTGTTACAAACACCAACAAGTGGAAACTCTAAAAGGTTATTAGGAGACAAAAAGTTGCATTAAGTACTATTTGTCTTGTAACTTGTAACTCATCAGGAGGAGGCAGAGTACCTCATATTTTGAAACTGCAACCCACTGCTCCAGTCTTCAAGTGTCGCAGCAGGTTAATAGGTTAATTTCCCACAGCCCCTGAGGTAAAATTGCTTTTTAAAGTCCTCTAAGTCATTAAGAGGTTTACCTGTTCATTAAGGAGACTGTATCGACCTCCAAGACAATTCGGCAGGTTCTGCTGCTGTCACTTCAACGACAACATTAAAGAGACGCTTGAAAAGGAGGACGTGGGGATTGCTGACTTTAAACAGCTAATGGTTTGAAGCTGAGAGTAAAGTTTGCTTGACTTTGGAAAACACAGTTGAGAAAGCGGTCTCGCTACAAGACCCATGTAAAACGGCATTAGACAAATCACACATGCTAATTAGCGTGCGTTACAGGAGGGAAGGCGGAGAGCTTTCAGTTATTGATTTTGATTAACACTGATGAAAAGCATGCAGATGTCAGAAGGCAGGGGGAGAGGATTTACGGTAGACACGAGTAAGGTTTAAACTATTCATATATTATGCCATGATACGCACCACAGAACATCGTGGTAGTGACTTCTTCCGCTAATTGCTTAAAATACCAGAATAACCTCGAGAAGGTTTAAGTCACCTTGGATAATAATAATAAAGGGAATGACAGCAGGACGAGAGCTCACAAAATTTGATTTCAAATACGCCTTTAAAGCCCCTCAAGAACGGCCTTCTGCACCAAGAGTGATTGAAAGTTCATCCATCTTCAGAGCAAATCTTTATTATAGGACCTGACAGTGAATAAACTATAAGGATGATTTAGAATATAACACAGACGAAAAGCAGACAAGGTCAGTATAATGAATCTTCAAGTGGCAACCGCTGACACATGAGAAAATGCACTGAGGACCACATCCTCCACCACATCAGGCCATTCTAGAAAAAAAAGGTTAGGTATAGGGAGCAATGGAGATTCAAAACCCCACAAAAATTCATGCTCCTTTTTTGCCCGTGTCACCAACTTATTACCCAAAAGACTATTAAAGTATAATCAAAAAATGAATCAAAGAAATCTATTACAATAAACATTTGTAGCAGTGGTAATAGCATGGTTCAGTAGACCTGTTAGTTGGACGAAAGTGATAAATACCCCTCCACACACAAATGTTAAATGTTCTGCAAAGGAATAAATTTGTATATTTATTGTCGTTCCCAAAAGATGGCGCCTCCTGACCTGACCTCTACAATCAACATGTTTTAAAAACATGAGCTGTGAGTAAAATCTCAACAACTCTTGGCTGGATTGTTGTTATATTTGAGAACTTTAGTGAATCACTTGCATTTAATCTGTTGTTCTCCATCAGGTTGCTTTGTTAATTTAAAAGACCTGTAAAACTAACGCCCTAAGCGGATCCACTCTGCTTAGTGCTAAGGAGAAAACGTTAACATTTAATATGCTAAATGATTATGGAAGGGTTCAGACTAGGGATGGGTATCGTTTAGGTTTTATCCGATACCGGTGCCAAACCGGTACTTTTGAAA